GAACTATTATAAAGTGTTACCATATTTTCTTTTGTCGGTGTGCAATTTTTTTGCTTACCAGTATTAAATATGTAATACTAATGATTTTTTATTATTGAAGAAAGTAAAGTATACATGCCTATAAATGAACGTTCATATAATGGGCGGCGGTTTCGCTTTTATTCCAAACCACTGGAGACAAGTAACTCCATTAAAAAAAAGGTGGGCTACTATCGAGTACTACTAAAGCGTACTATAATAATCAAGTGCCCAATCAAAATTCTAACGAAAGCTGAAAAATACGGTCTACAGGTCTCAGTAGGTTTGCACGGTTTTACTCAACGTTCTGCATGGTACAGCATTTACAATTCTATGTATTGTATATTGTTAAGCATTTGTACTTACAAATCCATTAGATACGAAAAGGGACGACTGGAAAAAAAATACTTACCAGCAGGTAAAATTAAAAGTAGTACAAGAGAATTAATTCCCATAGTAAACAAGTTCACATATTCCTCGTTTCATGAAGTTTTACTCCTTTTGCAAAGGACACAGTGTGCCAAATAATAACTGGAGCATTAACTGTTAAAACTTTTACGAAATCTCGGAAGCGTATGCTCTATGCAGGAAAGCTGGCTAAGAATTCAGTTCTTCCTTATAGCGTCTCGTAAAATGTGATTAAAATTAAAACACGCCCATGGAACTTATCTTAGGCTACATCAGGGGAGTTTCTAGGTTACTTTTTTTTTAAAGGAAGGTTTGCATCGGGGCTAAAATATTCGGGGCTATATCTCCGAGGGATCGGACCTAACGATACAAGATCTTGTGTTACCCGCAATGTAAGTTGTATACTCACTGGCCATTTAATTGGTACATCTGTTACAAAACAAAAAACAAAAGAACATTAGTGGTAAAGGGAGCTGACAGGCTGAAGAAGGAGGCCTGATAAGTGGCAGAGAATGAATAAATGAATGTTAAAATAACAAAATATATCCATTTTGCCATTCATTTTGATGAATAAAGCTTACTCAGTGTAACACTGGGCCAATCAGAGACAACTGTACTTATACAGTTGCATAAATTGCTTAAACAGTTGAATTTTGTGTGAACACCATGGGATTGCTTAATATGCTTTGAATAAATGCAATATTGATGTGAATGACTGAACATACTGTAGTGTTCACAGAAAGATAACTTGTTCAAGGATTTTGCTTAAGCAATGGAGAAAAAACTATAATTCCTGGGAGCACAGGGCCTTGTGTAAACCAATGTGGGAGGGG